TAAAGATATCATATCTTGAGGAAATGCTCAATTCCTAAACTGTAGATGATAATGACAAATTTTTAATTCAGTTTATCAATTTTGGAATAGAAACGAGTAAATTGTAATTTCAACCTAAGCACTTAAGGAAAAAAAAAAAAGTCATATATTCGAGGAACGCTCAATTCCTAAATTTCATATGATAAATTGATGATAACAAAAGTTGAGTAAAATTTGTTGCTGTGTAAATTTCTAGTTCACATTTGGTGAAATGGAATGAAAATTTCTTGAAGACATGACTTTTGTTTTTTCCATTTTTTTAAAGTATTTAAGGGTATGTTTAGATTAGCGGCACAAAAAGTGACTTATTTTCAATCAGATTTTTGAAAATTTAAGATTGGATAAAGTTTAAATTGAGTAATGTGATTTAATGTGATTTAAGTTTAGATTGATTTTTGTAAATAAATAAGTTTGTAACAATAAAATTGTTTACATTATTATCAGAAAGCCAAGCTAAGTTGTAAAACGGCAAAAGAAGAGCATATATTAAATAATACATATTATACAAATATGAAAAAATAATAATAAATGGGGAGAGTAGGTAGGAGAAAGAATAAGTAGAAAAAGAGATGAGAGAGAAGTAATTAATCAGGATAAAAATGTAAAAAATACATTAAATAATTAGACAAATACAAATTATAGCTTATAAAAAGGTCAAACACCTTCAAAAATTTGATACTTATATTTTGAATCAGATGGATTATAAATTTCAATATAAATAAGATAGTATAATATGATTTATGATAAAATTTTTAAAGATGAGACTGCAACACTTACTCTTTTTTTTTAAACTTCTCTCTCCACATTTCAAAACCCATAAATATCAAATTTTTGCTTTTATAGTTTTATCATACTTTTCATCCAAAAGCTAAATTGCCAACCGCCAATAGAAACGCTTTAATTTCATCTCATCACACGATTGCGATTTTCATTGCACGTTTTGGTGACAAAACGTTGTCACAAACAAGCCTTAAGTTGGAATCATGACTTATTAATTTCTATTTCAAAATTAGTGAAATTGATTGTAAAAGTTATGTTTTAAAAAAAAATGCCTAGTTCCTAGACTTCAGTAATAACATATCCATCTTATCACACCCTGGGACCAGATGAGTTGATGCTATTTTTTTTATAACATACAATTAGTTGAATTGGATTGATAAAAAGATTTGTTAGAATTAGATAGAGACACTAAATATATAGTTGAAAAAAAATAATACATATGCAAAAAAAAATGTAATATTTTGTTTTCAAAAATAACCTTACATATATGGAGAGTATAAGAGAAAAAATTTACCATATAAATAATTTATTTAATTAGTAAATGAAAATCATACTAAAAAATTGCCTCTTTTAAAAGAGGCGGAGAGCGTAATATTATTCAGCATTAAAATAATTTTTGAAAAAATGAATTTTCTTTAAATTCTGCATTTTCATGAATCTTCAGTCAAAAAGACTCGTGTTATCAACATTTGACTCTCTGGGTTTTTAGCGGAATTGCGGGTATGAAATGGGTAGTGTTGTGCCTGTTATTGACTCACTTAGGACCTATTTGGTTAAAAAAAAAAAAAATTTTGATTGGAGTGAAAAAGAACTGAAAAGAATGGAATGGAATGGAATGAAAATTTTTTGGGTGATGGCATGTTTGGTAAGTACTGAAATGAAAAACGGGTTGACAGAAAATTTTATGGTTGGTTGGGTAAAAATAGGCTGTAAAATTATGCAATTTTATCGTGTTACCCTTAATTAAAAAAATAATATTATTAAATAAAAATGCTGTTTTACCTTATAGAGTAATAATATTATTAAAGAATAATAATTCCAAAAAATAAAAAAAAATATTATAATTTGAATAAATACAAATATTCAATATTAAATATAAAAATAACTATAGATGCTAAATGATTTTAAAAAATTAAATAACAAAATATAAATGAAATATAACACAGAAGTTGGAATAAAATTAAATTCACAAGAAAGAAAACAAGAAATAAAGTATAACCAAACAATTTATAAATTTGAATGGACATAAATAAAGTCAATTAAAATGTGAATTTTTGGATGACATACATTTGTTAATTTAAATTTAAATGAGTCAAATGATTTATAATTAAAAAAACTCTTTAAGTTTAATTTTAAATGCAATAAGACTCATTTAAAAACTCTTTATATTTTGAAATTTATTTTCAAGAAAATTTGATGTAGAAAATTTAAATTTTCTTATATCAAATTTGAATCTATTCAAGGAAATTTGAATTTAATGCAACAAATTCAACTTCTTTTACATCAATTTTGAATATACTTATTTCTTTCTCACAGCTTAAAGTCTAACTATGGGTTTATGAATATAAATTAGAATTTGTTTATGCAAATTCTAATTTATACACGGCACATTTCAACTTTTCGTATAAAGTTTGAGTTCATTACATCTCTGTTTTTAATGTTTTAAATAGAGTAACTTTTGATTAGATATAACTTTCTCAATTTAAATTCAAATTGAGCAAATGAGGTATTTTTAAAAAGTTCTCTGAGTCTAGTTTTTAATACAATGAGACTCATTCAAAAACACTTTGTAATTTTAAAGTTATGATCAAAACTGTAAGTAAGGGTCAAAAACGGTTTTCTCACCAGATTTTGAATCAGACTTGAAAAATCATATCTATTTTATATGGAAACATTTTTATTGAGATAGATGTTGTCAAAAAGCTATTGAGTCTATTTTTATATATAACGATTAGCAAGTTTCACTTTAGAAGTATTTATCTTTCTCACCAAACGTGCTCTTAGGCTTCTTGCAACATGCTTGTGTTTATCTTTCGCCTATTTTTCATTTCAGTTGTTTGCCATGGGTGTTTTCCTTAGACCTTTTTGGATCTGTTCGCTTTTGATGTTGTTCTCATTTTTTGCCTTCTAGATCCATCACCAAGTTTCCATGTTCATCTTTGTCGCAATTGTATATCTCTAGTTTTTAATACTAGAGCTTCTTTTAACACCCAAAAGGGGGCAGACATTGTGAGTCGTCATTGGGTTGTTTCAATGCTTCACAGTAGAATTATCTCTTGAAAGCAAGGCCTACCAGGTTCTTCGTGTGATGCAACTTCAAGAAAAATAGGTGCGTACTAATGAGCATTCATGCATGGAAGAGAAATGATTGGTACAATAAGGGATTTAAACTTTGGGCTGTCTCAAATCTGCCTGTAAAAATTGGGACTACAATCAAACACAAGTCTGTTTTAGTTTCCATGATGTTGCATTTCCTTTCTCTGTTTTTATTATATTAATTTTTTTTTATTGTCGTTTGTTATTTCTATCTACTTATTACAATTATGTTGGACCAGCCTTCCCTTTTAATTTATTTGCACTTTTCTCAATTTAACCGAATGTAATGACTAACCTTTTTATGTAATCTTTTTATTTGGTTTGGAATAAAATTAGTGTTAAAATATTGTGAATAAAAAAAGGCTAATATAATTTTTTGTCTCTAAAATTTGAGCCTATTTTAATTTTAATCTCTCAAATTTTAATCATACGGGTTTAGTCTTTAGAATTTATTCTATTTTAAAATGCTTGGCCCTGAAAGTGTAATGGTATTGGAATATACTAAATTATCATAAACAATGCTAGAATGATGATGTTGACTCAGAAAATAGCACTTAGCTGGATCTTGTGTGAATAACCAAAGAGAAAAAATAGGTCCTCAAAAAGCAATTGTTTATGCCCTCAGTTTTTCTTTCTTCTTGTTCATTTCAAGAGCTGTTTCTATGCTGCATTTTGAGATCTCATCCCTGTTATATAATTGTTCTATGTGTTACTCCTCTGGTCCTATTTACATAACAGAGAGAGAATTTATTTTTTGGTCCTATTTATAGGGCACTGAGAGAAATTTTTTATATGGATGTACAATTTTACCCCTTATTTATTATTGTGTTGACTTTGTTTATATGAGATACTACCTCCGGTCCTTAATATAAGACCTCGTTTGACTTTTAGTTTGGTCCTAATTATAAAACCTCAATCCACTTTGTCTCTCATATTTATGTATTTTTTTCTCAAAGTAATCCTTCTAATAATGGTAATTCTAACCAATATACTTTATTAGCATAGATATTTTAGGAAAGACAATATCTATTTATTACAAATAACTAACATAACTTCTTTCCTTAATCTCCTCAAATTAGTCAACTAGCTCTTATAATTAGGATCGGAGGTAGTATAATGTATATTAAATAGGGATAAAGTTGGAAAGTCATTAAATTTTAAATGAGAATTAATAAAGTTTAAGATTTTTCTCGGTCTGTATAAAACATACTGAAAGTGTCTTATAAATAGGACCAAAAGAGTATATTTTGAGGACGTTTTTTTTTTTTGGGTAACCACACAAAATATAATTAAATGCTATTTGATTAGTCCACATCAACATAACTTTTAATGCTATTTATGACCTTTTAGTAGATTTTGATATCATTGCAACTCTAAAAACTAACATTTCAGGATGAATTAAATTTCTAAAATAGACCAAAATTATAATAGATCTAAATTTCATGAACCAAAAATTATGTTAAGTCTAAAAAAAACTAATACCCGAAGAACCAACTTTGATACGAATTTAACAATGCTCAACCTTAATTCGATAATATCATATACAAATTATGCATTAAATAATATTAGAGAATTATATCAAAAAGAATAAATAGTATTAAATAATTATATTAATTAAATTTTTGAGTAACTAAATTTGTGAACAAATTTTTAGGACGCACTTCAAAGTTCAAAGTTCAAAGTTCAAAGGAGAAAAATGTTCGCACGATTTTCGCGCTCCTCTTTAAAAGCATTTAATCCCACGGTCCAGATCCGATCTTCACTCTACCCCACAACTTGCTCGATCATTCAGCAGTCAGCACATCACTATTCACTCCTCATTCTTCGCATCCATTTATGCGTTCTTCATCTTCTTCCCCGTGACGTGATCCCATCCCAACCCTTCCCCCAGTTCTCTTCTTTGTATTATTCGACTTGGAATTGCTGGCACACTTTTTTATTGTTTCTCTTTTACTCTGATTATTCTCTGCAACAATGGCTTCGGACAAGGAGAGAGAGACCCACGTTTACATGGCGAAGCTCTCTGAGCAGGCCGAGCGATACGATGGTAACGTGTTTTTTTTTTCCTCTACCCATTTTGATCTTCCTGAGGTATCTTCTGTTGCTTTTTCGATTTTGATGTGTCAGTGTTGTTATTGATCTGTTTGTTGGGTTATATTGTGCTTCTGTTGGATCACATCACACTTTGTGAGACTGAGAGTGCAGTTTTCCTGTCACTTTTGTTTCAGTTAGTTGAATATCTGACTCTAAATGCTAAAATTTTGTTATATGAATTGGGTTTCTATTGTTGTTTGTAATGCAAGCGAGGCACATATTGAGAAACAACTCTTTCCCCCTTTCTAATCCATCTCCTTCCCGTTTATGTTCTTCAATTGTCTAACTCAAATATATGTTCTTTTGTTGTGTTGCTAGCCCCATGAAGAGTGGGGGTGTTTGGTATCATCGAAAAGCACTTTTAAAAAGTATTTCGTATACCCCTTTTAATTTGGTTTCCATCCAAAAACCCCTTAGAACCAGGTATGTAATTCGTATTGTTTCTCTAAACACGGTACTCCCTTCATTGACCTCTATCATGTTATTACTTACTTCCTCTTCCCAAAAAATTGAGGGTTAATTACATGAAGGGCATTTTTGATAATACATCACAAATGCTTCACTGAATTTTGCAAATGGTCTTAAACTATGGATCATGAAGAGGTTCTAAAAGGGGTCTTATGCTATGGGTTGGAGGCAGAACATCGGGTTAAAAGTCTGATTTGTGCTCAGAAATCTACATTATGAATATTTGATTATTTGTATCTGTCATGCAGAAATGGTTGAGCATATGAAGACAGTGGCAAAACTTAATCTTGAGCTTACGGTGGAAGAGAGGAACCTCCTCTCTGTTGGATATAAAAACGTCATTGGTGCAAGGCGAGCATCTTGGCGTATTATGTCTTCAATTGAGCAGAAAGAAGAGTCTAAGGGAAATGAGAACAATGTTAAACTGATCAAGAGTTACCGCCAAAAGGTTGAAGAGGAACTCTCTAAGATTTGTGGTGACATTCTGACAATTATTGATGAGCATCTTATACCCTCTTCCACATCTGGAGAAGCCACTGTTTTTTACTATAAGATGTGAGCCAGGCTGCTTCTTTGCTTAATTCCAACATTTTACACCCTAGATTAGTTGATTTCCTTTTCTGTTCCACGCATCTAATTACTTCTTTCACCCTCTCCTTTACTGCATATCTGAGTTCTTTGAATTGATTAAAATACTAGATACAGTGTGAGAAAAATATGGTGTTTGTATGAGATGTGATAGCTGTCTCTGTGTGTGTGTGTGTTTTTGTCCTTGGCCCTACAGGTGTTTATGTGATAGCTGTCTCTGTGTGTGTGTGTGTGTGTGTGTGTTTGTCCTTGGCCCTACAGGTGTTTGATGCCATGGAGAGGCCATGAAACTGTGTATGAATTTATTTTCTGTTACTTCTCTCCCTCCCTGATCTCAGCATCTTCTTGATGCAGGAAAGGTGACTACTATAGGTATCTTGCTGAGTTCAAGACTGACCAAGCAAGGAAAGAGGCAGCTGAGCAGTCCCTCAAGGGATATGAAGTATGTGCCTTTCTTGTATTTTAGTGCTGAATTGATTCGTTATCATGTTGCTACTTGATGCAGTCCTCTATTTCTCATGTTAGGCTGCTTCAGCCACTGCTAACACAGAACTTCCATCAACACACCCGATCCGTCTTGGTCTTGCACTTAACTTCTCTGTGTTTTATTATGAGATAATGAACTCTCCTGAAAGGTATCTCTCTAATTCTTCCTATGACAGTCATGGGGGTGTTGAGCTGCCTACTTTGCTAGCTGTTATCCTAATGTTATTTATCTCTGAAACTTATAGGGCATGTCATTTGGCTAAACAAGCCTTTGACGAGGCAATTGCAGAGTTGGATACATTGAGTGAAGAGTCATACAAGGACAGCACTTTGATCATGCAGTTGTTGAGAGACAACCTGACTCTGTGGACCTCCGATTTGCCAGAGGATGGAGGTATGGTGTTGATTGAAACCCTGAATTGACTTATAGGATGCATTTGAGTTTCACCTCGGACAATCTCATTCTGTAAATCACTGAAAAATGTTGTCCAAAACAATCAGACAAGCCTGATGTACAGTGAATTGGAAGCATTCTTCCGACCTAGGCCCTTCCTTTCCCAACTACCTAATAAAATCAAGTTGGAAGATTTCAAATAGATCAGTAGTTTTACTCTAGCATGAAGACATATGTAAGCAATTAAGTCTTGTCTTTAGCAATAATTATGTGTGGCATGCTTATATGTCTATTTATCCATGACTTGATTGACCTGCTCTTTCGAAAGAAGAAATCTTCTTATCCTGTCACCATAGAATTTATTGCCTTGGAGCAAAGTCACAAGGTTTCAATTATTTATAGTTGAATAACTCTTTGCTGGATGGCTGCATCAAGCTTCTTGTTATGCATCTTGTGGTGCAACTGAAATTCTTATAATGTTGAGGTCCGAATAATTAATGCTTCGATGCAGGTGAAGATGGTACCAAAAATGAAGAAGTCAAACCAGCTGAACCTGAGGTTGGTTTTGATAATATGATTTCTTTGCCATGCACACATGATTTTTCTACGGCTGCTATATATATACACATTTAAGTTTCTAAATTCAGGACTGTGATATTGTTTATTTTGCAGAAGAACTAAGGTAGTTCCGAAGCTGGACATGGGAGTCTGATATCTCTAGGTTACTCTGCAAAGGGGGCACTTTTAAGCTTTTCTTGCAATGGAGTTGGACCTGACAATACAGACGGCCTTCATAGTTCTTGTGCTCTCGTTTTATATCCGATCGAAGCTAGAAATGCCATCCGCCGCTGTCTTATTTTGTTTTTTGGGGATTTATTACCTTTTATTTTTATTTTCTAAGTAAGCCGATGGATGATTTGCATCTACTTTTATAAGCATTTTCTTGTCTTAGATTCTTTAGAATGATTCTGTTTTGTTTCTTGTTCTTAATACATTTCAACTTGGAATTGGTAGCAAAGTTTCTATAATGTTAAGTTTAATGATCAAATAAATTGATGGATATGGCATCCGTAGTGTGGCTTCCATTCTTGTGTACGGAAGAACATGCTAATTGATTCAGTGGAATAAGAATTCCAGGCTAAGATGTAGGAGTGAGATTTTATTAGCAGCGGGGAGCGGAAATTAGCATAAGAAAAGAAAATATTGTGTACTACTTCTGGTCCTAAAACACTACAAAATTTATCATTTTTTAAAGTCCTTGCATTGGTTTTTTCTTTTTCTTTTATTGTTACACATAACTATTAATCGATCTAGAAATTGAAAGAACTACCATTCTCCTATAAGCTCCATTTAGTGTTGTCAGAGTTTGAGTTCAGTCATTCCATCAATGGGGATTCACTTATTGGAAGTCGAAACCACCCACCCATTGTCAAACCTATGCCTAACACTAACCTTTGAGCTTAGTTGTTGCCATCGATGGAGGTTGAGATGGCCTCAAAATTGACATGGGCATGTTTATAAAATGGAGGTTGAGGTAGGAGTTACAGAAAAAGAACCACATTTCACAAGACTGGTTAAGAGCTCGTTGGAGACGGGGAAGTTGAATTGATTTTTTTTTTTTCTCCCAATTCCATGCTACCAAACAAACATCTCTCAAAATTACATTTCCATTTGTCCCAATTCCAGCACACGAAACAGGCTGTCCGGGCTCCTTTTCCAAGCCAAATTTCATATCTTGGGAACATTATCCAATTCAATTCCCTCCCTCATTCATTTTAAAGGCCCAACTCCAATGATGTCCTGATGCATTTATGTCGTTTATTCCAGTTCCTAGAATCTAGTTGAGAGCTAATCCCTTCGGAGAAGCTTCGATACTGACGACATTTCAATTTGATACCCTCAGATATTGCACTGGAGCACAAATATTCAAAGGGATTCATCCACTCCAAATTGAAAGAATTAACATTCCCCTCCCTATAAGCTCCTGAAATTTTACTGAAATATTGACCAATAAAAGCTCACAAAGAAGAGGGGTGGGCGACGAGACAAACAGAAACCACTTAAAAAATTAAGTACAGGTGATTACATTAATGATATTTCCAGTATCATATACAGATCATATCCATTAAAAATTTCCATAAAACAGTTATTTATTCTACATTTTAGCCTCTAGAGTGCAGCCTGTACTTTATAAGAGCCTTTGTCCCCAAAATGTGATATAGCCGAAAATTGAGGGAATGGAAAAACCAGCTGTACACATCCAATGCCGAACAACTGCCAAATATAAAGATATACATACTCCAAAAATGTTAGTCCGTATCTTCCTTGACATGATAACTTGGAGGCAAGGAGAAGACTTGTTCACGGTTTAGCAATTCCATCTCTTCATCATCTGGTTTCTAGGGAGGGGAGATAAGGAGATAAAACGTCAGCTTTGAAATAAAGCTCAAATAATTTCATGAGTATGAATAGAAACAGAAGAACGATGGCTTAATGATTAAGTACCAGCATTTCTAAATTGTAAAACCGATCCAGCAATTGCAGGACTTCCTCAGAAGAGAAGTATCGGTCAAAACTGTTAAGGTACCATACTGAGATCTTCAATTATGTGACGAGAAGCAGACCTAGTAGATTATTCTTGACAATCAAACATGCCACAAGGAAATAGTCGTGGTTAGAGGACCTAACCTCCTGCGCAGATATTCCATCAGACCATATATAACAAAGTGGCGATGAATGCCTGCATTTAAAGGATTGACCATTTAAGCAAGCATAAGAAAACCTAACAATTAACTCCTTTATTAGGCAGCACGATGACATTAGGAAAGCTCTGTAAAATTGCCACAAGTGGTCATCCGTCTTAGTGTAGCTCCTCTTCATACAATAAAAATACAACTTTTCATAGGACAACTTACTAAGAAAAACCAATAGCTAGAACTTTACACGCTCATACGTGCTAATACAAAATTACTGCCCAGGATAAGACCAAATTGCCTCCGCCAGGATTCTTTACAACCACATCCTGGTACTCAGAAGTTAAGATTGCAATAAGACAAAACTACATATTTGTCACAGACTCGCACTATAAAGTAAGTCATAAGATGTCAAATCTCATGTTTTAGGAATAAAGCCCCAGATGGAAAACAAAGCGTGTGTTAGGAAGGGAAGGGAACGAATGGGAAATAATACTACCATTCCATCATTTGGATGATTACTGAAGGAAGTACAGAAAGAGGGGAAAATATTAAGCTTAGCACATAAGAAATACTTTTATCAACTCCTTTGGGAGGATTTAGTAAAAAATAACACAAGATTTTCAAATGAAAATGCCAACAAGACATCAAGAATCTTGAGGCTCCAGTTACATAATCAAATATGTTCATGACATGTGACAGACATGAGTATATCTGTGGTTCATTAACTGTTTTTATGGAGTTGTGATTGTTCTTGTGCTTCATTATTATAAAATTCTAAACACCATCAACCCCTATTGGAGAAAGGAAAGCAATTATGTCCTATCAGAGCAAAATAGACTGTAACTGACACTCTGCCATTATATAAATACTAACTAATTTAAGTAAAATAGACTGTAACTGAAACTCTGCCAATATAAAAATACTAACTACCTAGAGCCCACCTCCTGCTGCTTTCCCGGCCCTCCCCCTCCCTCCCCCTCTCTATCACTCTTAGTAATAGCTAGGATCCAAACCCAATGAAAGCTAGGTGTGTGTTTAAGTCAAATGGTTTGCAGAACTGTTCCCTTAGTTAATAATACAGACTAGCTAGTAGTTGCCTCGTAATACTTGTGTCTTCAAGAAGAACCGTTGCTGACATTATTTACCAATTCAATCAAACATAACTTTACGTTCTGCGAGACAAGAGTTGGAATCATCACTCATATGCTAAATCACTATCTTTAAGGCGTCAATTATCGTTACTGGAATCTCAAGCTGAAAGCAAATTAACAAAAATAATCAGCATTATATAATTTTACAAATCAGAAATGACGTTTTCCAAGAGCCATCGATATAAGCACAATTTTCTTTCAAAGAAAATAATACATAAAATGATTGCAAATAAACAACTTGCCTTGTAGTTTTTTTGGAGAATAAATTTGAAGACCCTGTAACAGTCTCAGCTCCAACTCGACCTGCGTTGGCTCCTATAACCACAGAATCATAAATCAACGTTTAATTCAAAATGCGCGACTGTGATCCCGTATCACAGGTACAAAGAAAGATTAACCTTGGGTAAAGAAGAAGCAGAGGAAGGAGGAGCTTTGCATGGAGAATGAACAGATGCGCCATCTTGTTCCTCTTCTTTGGGTTTGCCGCCTCCACTGCCCATCTTCATATAAGCACCTGAGTAATTTCAGCGAAGATGAGTATAAATTATCCGGGAAACTGTAAAAGGAAAATGACCATACCTTTTCCAGTTTGTCGTACGCTAGGGTTTTGGGTGTTCGATCGGAAAGAAACCGAATTTTTTTTTTTTTTTGGGTTACTAAAGAAACCGAATTTTTGAAGAAACCTTGTTTTTCTTTTTTAATCCGGGTAGACAAACAACAGGCTTGTTTAATCTCTTGCGCTTCTGCTCAAAATGATTAGACTTATCTGTTGGACTTAAGGCCCAAGAGTGATGTGGGCCATTGAGTCCGTTTAGCCATCACTAGGCCCAAGGTAACAAGGTGTTATCATTTTTTTATAATATATATAGCCATAGAGAAAACATTAGTATGAAAGTACTTAAAATTTCGCTGGCCAAAAAAAAAAAAAATACTTATAATTTCATCCCATTTTTAATCAGATCCCTGTAATTTTTTTCCTTTTATTATATCCTTACAGTTTCCTGAATTATAGGTTTTAGTCTATATGCTCATAATTTGTTAATTTATAAGAAAAGTGAGGTTAGTAGTTTGTAACTCTTACTCAAAACATGTTAATCTTTTCAGACGGAACTAAATAAAATCAAAATTAACCAAATCACTTCTTATATACAAACAATTGTTAGCATAATTTTTTCTAGGTCAATACTATCTTTAATCTGTGAAATTTGACCTTATTTTAGTTTTAATTCTTAAAATTTAAAACTAGTTTGATAATTGAAATGTAATCTTATTTTGATAATCTTAAATATTTCTTGTCCTTAGAACAGTGTTCCTGAATCAAAACTAAAATTAGGTGAAATAAAGAATATTGGTTTTGGTCCATATACCTAAACTCAAAATCAAGCTCTTATGAAACTATAGAGATCAAAACTAAATAATTTGAAAGTATGGGCACCAGAATCAAAATTGAATTAAACTATAGGAACTAACAATAATATTAATTCAAAAAGTAATTAAATTTTTGATATTACCTACACTGCATACAGGTGTGTTTATTTCATTGCATAAACACACCAGTGTTGATTTTGGTGAAAGCTTGAAGCATAAAGATGTCATCAATTAATTCAAAAGTTAGTTATTATCAATTTGAAAACATGTTTCTTTTTTTTATTCTTTCCGACCAAAAACTTATTTAATAAAAATCCACTTTAATGAAAGCCCACTTTTGTGCTCTCTTTTTAAGGGATCAAATAAAAGAAGAGAATCACACATAAGTTATGCGTGTCGGAGAAACAACGAAATTAGAGCTATCTACTTTTAGGATCTTAGCTGGGTATTATGTAATATTCCGGTCCTAATTATAAGAGCCAGTTGACTAATTTGAGGAGATTAAAAAATAAGTTGAGTTAGTTATTTATCCTAAATAGGTGTTCTCTTTTCTAAAAGATCCTTACTAATCAAGTGTATTAACTAAAACTATCTTTGTTAAAAGAACTACTTTAGAAAAAATATATAAATATTAGAGACAAAATAGATTAGAGTTTTATATTTAAAACCAAAATAAATTAAGGACCGGAGGTAGTAACTTATTTTGCCTTTTCAAAAGTTTTTTTTAAAAAAAATCTATATATATGTGGGTGTGCGCGCGTGCACGTGTATTAGAAAGAAATAAAAATCTCCCCAAATTTGTAAATCCCAATATGAACACTATAGGAACTAGCTTGAGGTTAAATTTTGTAACAAAATTACTTAAATATCCCTAATGCAAAACAAGTAACAACTTTAACTTATCAAATAAAAATTAAGGCAATGATAATTAATTTTAGATAAATTTCTTACTGAATATCAATGCCAATAATAGTTTAATAAATAACAATTTTAATTTATCAAATAACAACTAAAGCAAGCAATGCCAACTAATTTTATTGAGGACAACATTTCACAAAAGCCTAATTTCATGGTAGTTTCTAAGAATTTCATAGGAATTAAGCTACTCAGGGGGATATCTTGGAATTCTCATATTTCAAAGACATTTATATGTCTTTCTTTACTTCCTCGGATCATATTACAGGACACATTAAACTAATTCACACGAAATTAAAAAAAAATGACAGTTAACTTTATTCATTCTATCTTAAATTGATAAAAAAATTTTTAACTTTATCCGTACTAATAATGTATTGAGAGAAAGGAAAAAAATACAAAAAATATATATTTAAATATTAATTACAGAGACAAGATTCACGAATAATTATCAATAATTATTAAAGTGACTTATATTATATTAGAGGCTAAAAAAATCTTGAAGAAATTAATCTTTGATCCTTATAGTTTTGACTCATTTGTGACTCGATCCTTATATTTTGACTTGGTGTAACTCAATCTTTATAAGTTTGATTCGATTGTAACTCAATCATTAAACTTTAACTCGTTGCAATTCGATCTCTGTAGTTTTTTTTTTTTTTTGTGAAAATAGGGGGCAAGGCCTAATCTCTTATTCCATCACCATAAGCCGTGGCTATGCAACACCCACAAAGTTGTTCGATCTCTCTAGTTTGTAATTATTGGAGAATTATAATGAGTTCCCAATAAAAAAAAAATAATTACTAAGAAATCTCAATAATAATCTAAGCAGTATGTAGTAACAAGTTTTAAAATAAAATTTTTTTAAAAAACTTATTTTGTAATTTTTTTAAGACTTTATTGTAATTCTCTTTTTAATTATTCTATAATCTAGTTTTAAGAAAATGAAATTATACATCAGCCAGTGGAGGGATTTTTTTTTTTTTGGTGGGCCCTTGTGGTCCAGATGGCCAATGATTCTGATTTGTTGGCCGTAGTTGGAATTTCAAAACTTTAATGAAGCACTTTGTAGAAACACGCACGTCAAGCAACCTCTGTCATGAGTTTCGACCATCGCTTTATGGTGTTTGTCACTTTTGGCCACAAAATTATGGCTTACAAATTATTGTTGTTTAAAGTTTTATAAAAGGATTTTTCCATACGGACTTTGGATCTAGTTTTACACTCCAGAATTAAGGACGTGTTTGTCTTCCTCTTTTGAACACAATTTTTTTAAAAAAACACTTGTTTGATAATTGGTTGTTAGTTGTTTTAAAATAAAAAAAACAATATACTACCTCTCATTCTTAACATAAGATCACATTTGACTTTTATTTTGATCATAAATATAAGATTTCAATTCATTTTATCCTTTATATTTATATTTTTTTTTCAAGATAGTCCTTCTAATAATAATAGTTCTAGCCAGTATACTTAATTAGTAAAGATATTTTATAAAAGATAACACATATTTATTACAAATAACTAACTTAACTTATTTTTTAATCTTATCAAATTATTCAACTGGTTTTTACAATTAGGATAGAAGGTAGTAGCTTAAAAATTAAAAAAATAAAACTTTTTTTTTTGGGAAAAATCGAGGAAACTGTTTCTTCTCTACTCACTCGTCATGTGCCACGTGTTACTACCGGTTGTCGGCACCTCACCGCGAGCTATAACCACCACTCACCATGTGTCTCTGCTGGCCGCCATCGACCCACCTCCTGTCGTATGTTGTTGTCGACCTTCACCAACGATGATCATCATCCACCACATGTTCTCACTGGCAGGCAATTTAGGGACAAAAATCAGGGACACAAAGTTAGTAAGTTACATCTCTAATTTTCGATGGACATTAGTGCCGAAATTGAATGATTTTGTCTTGTATTCTTCTAAGTAATTATTTGATATGTGGATAGCATCTTATGAGATTTTTTTTTTTAACTGTTTTATGAGATTTAATTGTCGTCAAATTACGGCTTGTAGTGTCTCCTTTAGCAGTTGTATGATTGACTACTATTTGTAACTTTATTTTTCTAGATAACAAGTTTTATGTTTTTTTTTTTGTTTGAAGTGTGTTTTTTTTTTAAATTTTGTTTTTTTGTTTTTTCGTTCTCAACTTATTTTAAAAAAATTGGGTTAATATACTAAAATCTATAGTTTGAAACTTAAGAAACCAAAACCAAAATAAGAACAAATTGAAGAGACTAAAAATTATATTAATACAAAACACTTTCATAAAATTGCTCATGGAACAAGAAAATAAAAAGTAGAATCAAACAAGCCTAACTCTCTCTGTCAATGTATATCTGTTTTTTTTTTTTCCCCAAACAAAACATTCCATTCAAATTAACATATTTTCATTTGTTTAAATTAAACTATATGTTTTTTAAGTTCTAATTAAAAGAAAAGCAAAATATACCAACCACCCGTCTATTCTATCTCAATTGTAGAAAACTCTTCTCTGTTTTGAAAACGTATATAAACCTGCCTCACAATTAAAATGTATGTTACACAAACTTCCTTTTTATATTTAATATTCAATTTCCATCCACCCAAATTGTTAATTAACCATTAAGTTTGACTTTAAACTAATTTTTTTTATCAAAATATCCCTTTCTAACTTAATAATTATTTAGACATTTATATTTTCTAAAAAAATTTATAAAATCAAAAATAATTCTAATACGTATATTTTTAAAATTTCTAATATGTAATAAAATTTATTAATTTTGACCTAAACCATAAAATTTTATAATTTTAATATTTTATCACATTCATTAGAAATTATTTGCTTTGATTTCTTTTAAATTATAAAAAAATATTTTAAATACATAGTTTTTGTTTATTGTAAAGTTTAAATAATATAAGTTTGAAAGATTTTATAAATTATTTAAATTTATGATTCAAATTTTTAAACACATCTTTGTTACAAAAATTTATAAATGTTTGGTCAAATATATATTTATTAAAAAAATTAGTTAAATTTTTAATCGAGTCTTTTATGTTTGTCTTAAATGAATGAAATTCATGTAACTGTAAAAATATAATTTAAAAATTTATTAGAATGAGGGATGAAATAGTAAGTAAAATTTATTTTAATATAAATTTTAATTAAAATTATATTTTTATAATATTTTTAGAATATTATTAATGGTGTTAACTAATTAGACTAAACTGTATATTTTTAAAATAGATGAGAGGTTTGTGTAATTGATGCAAGCTAAAAAGATATTCAGAGTATTTTACTAAATAATTTAACCTTTTTTTTCAATCCACGATAATAATACACGAGACCTTGTTAAAGGATGTTAGGTAGCAGGCACCAAAT